CCCCCTCCCCATTCGTCCCAGGCCACCGGAATCGGCCCCCTTCCCTATTCCCCCACCGGAATTGACCCCCCTCTCCTCCCCCCCCCCAAAAAAAACCGGCACCTCTAACCCTAAACAGGTTTTAGGGTTTCTCTTATGGTGGTTTATTTCGAGGTGGTGGTTTAGGGTAAGGTGTGGCCGAAAAGGGTAGGGGAAAGGGAGGGGGGTCGATTCTGGTGGGGGGAATGGGGAGGGGGGTGGTTTTCGGTTCGGGGTGGGGGTCGGGGCAGCAAGAAGGGGAAAAGGGAGGGGGGTGGGTTGCGTAGGTGAAGGAAAGGGAGTAGGGTGGGGTCGACGACGCCGACCGAAGCTTTGGGCGCTGGTCGTCGACGAGGGGGAGAGGGAGGGTGGCTGACGTAAGAGGGTTGGGCAGTTGAGGGTGGCTGGGTTTTTTTATTTTGATTTTTTAAATTTTAAAAAAAAATTATTTTTTGAATAGTTTTAACGGAACCCTAACATATTCCGTTAAGTGGTAGTGAAATTTAAGGCGGTAACAAAAAAAAAAAAATAGATAGGTAGAAAAAGTGAATAGGGGTGTTTGAGTGGTAGCAAAAGTGAAAATTTTCTAAATGTTATGTCTCAGGTAAATAATCTTTTTTACCATATCATTGAAGGTACATCACTGTCCAAATAACCTAAAGAAATGGCAATGAAAACTAGCAATACATTGTCAAATAATTGATATACTTTGTGGAATATATGGATATGATATTCTAACCAAAAGGAGGGGAAGGGGGATTGTTCCGTGCATCCCCGAGGTTTTAAAAATTGCACTGTGTACCCCTCAAAACTTTCAAATGTACCTTATACCTCTGAAGTTTGTAAAAAAAGTGTACCAAATACCCTGCTCATCTAACAAATGCACATATCATTGATTTATCAAAATAAAATCATGCCCACACACTGACTCCCTTTTCGTACTTTATATTTATGCAGTAAAATCACCTAAAAGCTTAAATTAAATCAAAATTTGAACTCCATCGATCATTCTAAATCCAACTTTTGGGTGTTAGAAATTGATTTATTAATTGTGTTTACTTGATAATTAAATGGTTTAACATTACAGTAGCATAATACTGTAATAATTTAATAGAATTTGATGTTTAGGGGGTCTCAATTAACATAATTAACATTTGTTATGAGTCTAGGAGAATTTGGTGCAATTTTTTTTATTACAAACCTTAGGAGTATACGGTGCATTTAAAAGTTTTCAGGGGTACATGGTAAATTTTAACCTTGAAGGGCATAGAGGATGTTGAGGTTATCAGGAACTTTTTACAAAAAACAAATAAATTGATATTAATTAAAATACGGAGTAATTAGTGAAGTTGTAAATTTTTATACAATATTAATAGATTTATAATTAAAAATAAATATTAATAAATATATATAATTTTTTAATTTAAAAATAATACGAATATACCTGAACAAAATGATGCAAATGACACTTCTGTACCGTGTCAAGGTTTTTAAAAGGAGTATATAAAAGATTAGAGAAAGCTTGATTAATATTATAGTCTAGCTCGGTGTACATTTATATATAAACAAAATTCATTATATTTTGGAGGTATTATGACAAAATAATAATATATTTGTTGAATAAATCATTTAATTTTTTAAATTCATAAATAATTTTATATAATAATCCATTATATAATCCATTATTTGTAAATCGTTTTATGTAAATTGTTAATTCGTAAATAGATTTATGTAAATTGTTAACTAATTAATAGTTACATGTAATAATCTACTCTTTAAACAAGCACTTAGAATACATATGAACCCACAACTTGTAGATATGTTAATTCTAAACTAAGCCCAGGTTAATTAATAGTTTATGTGCAATAATATAAATAATATGAAATCAATCAAGCAAAAAATATTTGTACTAAGCATGCAGAGAATTTGCCAATTTTTTGGTAATAATAACTAACTTGCTAAAGTCTAAATATGACATTGATGCTTTATGATATGTAAATGATATGAAATAGACAAAGAAAACATTGAAAACCATGAAAAGTGGGCAACTAGAGAAGTACATTCACAGTGGAGTTTCCCTGTGATCAACCTAACAGCTCAAACCAAAATGCAAGAAATCAATTTGAGATAATGAAAAAAACACACGCACAAAGTGAGAATGAAGCTCTGTCTAATTTTGGCTAGATTCCAACGAGAGCGGAATGCAGTCAAATCTTGATCTTGTCCATGTTACATACCAAAGTCATAATATACTCCATCTTAATTTAGTTATATTATTTATGGGTCAACTCTCAACCGCCTTATCCACCTTTTATTAAACGATTAAACCCTCCTAAGATCCCTATGCATGTTAACATCCGCAATTATCCAGTCCAAAAACAAATTAACAAATTGATTCCCTTCCTCTCTACTCTTTCATCTGTCTCTAATTTATCAACTGTAATTTAATGATTTTCTCACACTCTAAGGGCACACTCCTTAATTTCATCACGCAGATATTTGACATAAAATATCATCATCAATTAACAACGTAAAAAATAAATTGAGTTTTTTGTTTTTGAAATTTTTTTATTGGGCTTAATTTTTTTTTTATCTAGTTATGTTTCTATTTTTTTTTCTTTTTTTTTTTTGCTTTTGCGTTCATCTCTACAAGTTTCTCATATTTTTCTGATATATTTTCTAATCTTTTTCACTAATTTTCTCTTTTTTTTCCCTTGTTTTGTGCTTCATGTTTAGATTTGAAGTATGAATTTATAAATTAATTTTTTCAAAGTTTAAGACGGGGGTTTGAAATAGACTTTATTTACTTGTATAAAACTTGATCGTCACTCAACACAAAAACCCATCTGCATTCAACTCAACTGATTTTTTTTATATTCTGGATTTTGATTTTTGGTGTTTAATTACTTTCAAGTGTATTATATAATAAGACACTATTTAGAACTAATCATCCTTTTTTTTTTCCTTCTTATTATAAAAATACCACCCACAAAAACACAAAAAATTCTAGATTTCACCACCTCTTAACTTATTAAGCTAAATGAGTGTATTCCTGATTAACCTAACAAGTACGAAGTAAACGCTAATATGCACTAGTAAATCAAAGATAATGAAATGGCATTAAATGATTGCCTGCAACAAGAATTTTAGGCACACAATTAAAATACGGTCATGTATATGTAGCTTTAAGGGCTGTTTATAAGAGTTACATACATTTCTACGGTTTTAATTTAAAAATGTACTAATTAGTGGTCATATTATGTCATCGGTACATAATTTATGCTAAACTCTACTTTGAGCTATCTATATGTAGCTTTCTTCTTGTAATGGAAACCTTCTTATAATGAAATCATAAACTGCTAAGTATTTCTTTTATCCCTTAAAGATTGTCTCACATAGTGTTGTGGGGGGCCCTTAATTTGCACTTTTATTGTATGTTTTTTCCACTTGTCCTCTTTCTATATCTATACTCATGTGCATATTTTACCATACCATGTGTAAAACTTTGTCCTAATCTTAATAAAAGGAAGTATTGTTGAAGGTTGTAAGCTACACAACCCTTGCCTAACAACTTTAAAAAAAATAATGAAGGTACAAGGAATAGAGAAATAGGAAGAGTAAAAAAGGTGGTATGGCCTCACTCTTTTTTGTCAGATATGAATCTACGTGCGAAAGGTAGAAAAAAATTACGGAAGACCATTACCACTGAGAGTGTATTTCGTAGTTCAGTACCATTGATACTCCAAAGGAGTGTTTTTTTTAAAAAAAAAAATCATTGAGAGTGTATTTTGTATATTTGATAGCCCAATGAGACATTTCTATATTTACAAGCAAAATGACATTCTCACCCCTGTTAGACACCCCAAACGTGGCTCATCACTAGCCATTTGGAATGCCTCATTTAATAAAGTGAAAGTTGAGGTGTGGGACAACTTTTAAAGGACAAAGGGAGTAGTCATTTTTGCTATGATAAAATGATAATACATGTAATTTAGTTTCAACAACAACATGCAATAAGTTTTATTTTCCCCTCTTTATAGTTTTTGTATGGGCTTGCATTCACTAATAAACTTTTCACACTGTAGTGTCTCTGTATTAATAAAATGTGTCAAAAATTGTGGGTTGTTCTTTTGGACTTATCTTTAAAATGTCCAATTCAATTTATTTTAGTTTCGTTAAATTCATTTCAATTTTATTCAGTTTAGTTTATTTCAACTACAATCAATATAATTAAAGTTTTGTTTAGTTAATTCCATTTAATGAATACATTGAAAAACCCCTAAAAAATTTTATGTTCTCTCTCTTGAAACCTAGCCACCATAGTAAAACTTAGGGGCTGTCATCGATTTTTATCGATGGTAAGCCCTAATTTTTCTTCAATTTAATTTTTTTAGCCAATAAAGATCACCAACAGTATATTGGTTATAGTCACTCCCTTCATGTAGGGTTTAGTCAGTTCCCTAATGGTAAGGTGTTTAATATTGTTTGTTTGTTTGTTTTTCGTGTGTGCAAGGATACAAATTTGGAAGATTCATCTTGCAAATTTGTGGAATTGCGGGTGTATTGGTATAGGGATGCAGATTTAGAAGATTTGTCTTTCAAATTTGCAGAATTTAATGGCAAATCAAGTTTTATCACTTTTACGACTATACATCAATGAAGCTCCGTCAGCAACGATGCAAAGACATCTAACATTATTCAGGAGCAATTCAGAAGCGATACCATTAGTTTAGATGAAATCACCCCTCCCTATTCCATTCAAAAAAAAAAAATTATTTAGTTCAGCTCAACTCCACTTCATTCATTTTTTTTTTAAACCACTCGGCTTCATTCGTTTCAATTCAAATCAATTCTTCAATGCAGTTCAACTTCAATTAATCAAGGGCCTAGTTTGAATTTTCGTATATTGTTTTTTTTTCCCAACATATGACGTGGACAGACAATTAACACGTAAGCATCATCATATCATCACATATCATCAATCTATCCTGTAACCACAACCTCAACCTCCACCTCCATTACTCTCTTCAACCTCAAACTCTCTCACTTTCTCTCTCCTCTAAACAACTGAGATTGGCACAACGATAATGGCAATGGCTTCCGCAACAACAACAACAATTCTCTCACTCAAAACCCCATCTCTCTCTTCTTCCCCTACTCGATGCTCTGCTGCTCAAGGCATTTCTCTTACGCATTTCAACAAACACTTTAAGAGCACTCTCAACCTCTCCTCTTCCCACAGCATTTCATCTTCTATGCTTCAACCCATTATCCTCCAGAATAAGAGAATCTCCACCGTCGATTCTTCTGTGTCTACTTCTTTCACTGTTTTCGCTGCTAAAGGGTACAAGATGAAGACCCACAAGGTCAATTCTTTCTCTCTTTTGATTAATTTTTCTGGGTTTGGTTTATTGGGTGATTTGGGGCAGTGGGGTTCTTTTTAATTCATTAGTTTTGTGTTTTGTTTGGTGAATTTTGAATTACTTTTCTGGAATTTGGGGTATTGGGTGATTTGGGGTGGTTGATTTCTTGTTCAATTGATTAAATTTGTGTTTATTTTTGGTGTAGGCCTCAGCGAAGAGATTTAGGGTGACTGGAAAAGGGAAGATTGTGAGGAGGCGAGCTGGGAAACAGCATCTTCTTGCTAAGAAGAACACTAAGAGGAAGAACCGTCTCTCCAAATTGGTATTCATCTCTCTCTTATTACTTTATTAAGATACATTTTGACAATTTTGTATCATGGGTATCTGAAATGTAAGTACTCTAGTTGAAATTGGTTCTCTGGTACTCATATGGTCTGAAATTGTGGTTGGTTACTGTTATGGAACTTGAATTATGGCTTATATGAACATAATATGACCTCTATACTGGGAGCATGTCCATTTTACATCCGGGTGTGCTTAGTGCTCTAGGTACTCGCAAGTTTATTAAACTATGCTAAGTTGGATGTGTAGTGAATTTTGCATCACTGTTGTGCTAAAGCTTTATGCAACTAGGGTGCGTCGAAAGCAGTCAGTTTAGCTCAAGAGCAAGAAATGATGGCCGTGTTTCATTATTTGTGACCCTTTTGTAGTTTTGTATGCTTGCTGCTTAGAAGCTGAGCGAAGAGAGATAGGAGTACTAATTTATAATGACTTTCTGTGTATAACTGATGCTCAGTTTTCGAGTCTTACATGGGATAACAGAGAGCTAATTATCTTGGTGGCCTTTTCAAGTTGATATACCCTTTTTTTTTATATATATTTTTTCTTTGGGGGAAAATTTAGCTTGAAGGTTAAGTGTGTGCATAAGTTAAAGCTTGATAAAGAGTTAAGGTCTGAAGGACCTTAACTATTTGAGACTTGCTTCCTAGGAGGTAGGGAAATGGTAATGATACATTGCACTAACACAAAGGAGTAGGAAATTATGTCTTCATTACCATGGAGTTTGGTATAGAATGACTGAAGAAAGATGACGTTTTTTTTTTTTTTTTCCTTGTGACCCCTTATAATGGACATTTATATGCTTCATGTAAGGTTACCGCAAGATTATATTATTCATTACCATTACAACTATTTGTACCTCGAACCATATAGGTTTGAATGAAAGAATGAGATATCAATTTTTTTATTTTTTTTTAAACAAGATGATATCAACTTGGGTAGGGATAAAAATTATCAACTGATTTCTATACCTGAGGAATGATCACTTTGGCTCTTTGAAAATGTCTTACTTTGATATTTGTCCTCTACATTAATCATCATTATTCATTGTTTCCAAGGTTGTATCTCTTGACAAAATTTACTGTAGCTGTTAAGGACTTGGGATATCTTTCCATCTACAAATTCCATGCTGTGTTGTTGAAACTAGTTAAAAAAAAATTCAACAATAAAGTGGATTTTTCAGATTAAATAATACAGTCTCGCAAATTTATTGTGAGTTGTATAAGATACTCGTACCCCTCGAAAAAAGTAAAATTCACGCTAGTTATTGTGAGTCTGTCTTGTACAACATATATTCATGCCTTCATGGAATGTTGATTTTGGTTCTCTCTTGCCGAGTTGCTGAAACTAGTAATTTTCCCAACACTTACTCTAATTATTTAATACTCCACTCCGTACTCTAGTATAAAAATTCAGTTGCTGATTTCTTTTGCTTTGTGCTTAAATCTGTCTCTCTTCTCTCTGAATTAATGCTCAGGTTCAAGTTGATCGGAGTGATTATGACAATGTGATCGGCGCTTTGCCATACCTGAAGGTGAACCGGAAAGTATAGTGGAAGCAACATTTCCATCCCCTGATGAAAGACCAGCAATTTTTCTTTCCCTCTTTTGTAACATTCCAATCTATTTAGCAGCAAGCTTTTGTTCTAGCTAGTCAATTACATTTAAGCTATTTTTTTTCTTCACATTTCCTTTTATCCTTCGGCATATTCTTGTAACTAAATTATTATTCCAGGAGCAAGTTTTTGCGGCTAGTTCAAGAAACAAAATGTTTATGCTTTTATCAAAATGAATCAAAGAACATCAATAGATCCCCCATTTTAGAGAATACAACCTTTTAATTTTCTCACCCCTAAATCCTCTCCTTTTTCTATGATTGTTCTTTGAGAAATATGTTTATTTTTAAATTAACTTTTTAAATAGGTAATAAGAAAAAATGTCGATTATCTTTTTATTGCTTTTGTCTCTAAATTACTGTCCTATATTATTATGACGTAGAGATAGACCAAATAGTCATAATTGACAAATGATTTAAATAAGGCTTGATATAAGATTTTGGTACCATCTTAAAAAATTTAAATAACTGATCTAGTGTGAAATTTACAACCATATACCAATACCATGCTTTCCAAAACAATCTCGGAATCCATAATCTATAGTGTTTCGTGCATATATGTTAGATTAAACCTGGGCACCGTGACGGGCCGTGCCGCCGCGGGCCGTGCCTAGCGGGCCACGGGCTGGTTCGTGCCGTGCCGGTCGTGCCGGCGGGCCCATGATTTCGTGTCGTGCCGTGCCGGCCATTTTCACAGGCCAGCCCACGGCACGACACGACCCTCGTGCCTGGCGGGCTCGTGCCGTGCCGGCCACGTGCCGGCCTGCGGGCTGGCAGCGGGCTGGTGCAGTTTTCAAATAATTTTTTTTTTTTTTTTTTTATATATGACAACATTATAAATTAATAAGTTTATAATGTATATAAGTTATAAAAATATAATTATAAGTTTTATAAGGTTATAACTTATAAGTTATAAGTTATTAAGTTATGAATTTTATAATTATAAGTTGAATATTTATGTTTTATAATTTGTATATTCAATATTTATATTTATATATTTACTTTATACTATTACTTTAAAATTTAATGTTTATGATTTATTAGTAATTGGTATAATTTTATTTTTTTTAATATGAATTTACAAATTGTAACAAAACGGGGAAAAAAGGCAAATTGGACTTTGGATGTGAATAATGCGTACTTTATATTATTATTACTTGAGTTGAGAAAATTGTACAATGATAACAATGATAAAAATCATACAATGATGGTATTAAACAAAAATTGGAAAATGATAAAATTGATATTTTTAAAATCGTACAATATACAATAATTGTCTATTCTTCTTCTCCTTCTTCTTGCTCGTCTTCGTCTTCGTCTTCGTCTTCGCCTTCGCCTTCAAGGTCATCGGCTAGTTGCATAGATTGGGAACTAGCCGAACCCGAACCGGAAGCGGAGGTTCCTTCTTCGTTGTCGTTGTGGTCGTAAGAACGGTCTTGTGAGCGATTTTCCGCATCCAACCAATCTTTGAAACACACGCACATTTCTAGTGTTTCGGGTTTTAGACTTGTTCTTCTATCGTCTAAAACCCTTCCGGATGCGCTGAAAGCTCGTTCGGAGGCGACGGAGGAAACTTGGATAGCAAGAATGTCTCGTGCCATTGCCGCCAAAGTTGGATGCTTCGAGCTTTGTTGTTTCCACCATGCAAGGAGGTCGAGGCTGTTTATCTCATCGTCGTCCATGCCTTTGGTGAAGTCGTAACTCAGGTACATCTGCAACTCCGAGACGTCGCTTTGCGTTCTCCTGATTGATGAATCACCTGAAAACCTTGAAATCAAGTTAGTAGCTTGTGAAAATAAATGTTTGGCCTTCTTACTTACGTTTTTGGATGGTTGGGAAGGCCCTGAGCGAGGAACGGTGCCATATTTGGCTTCATAGACTCTATATAAAGCAAAAAACTGATCCTTCACATTAGTCTTATAGTTTTCTACATCATCGTCAAGAAACATGCATTGAAAGTAAATGTCAACTAACATAAATGTGTTTTCATACTTTTGCCTAGGATCTAATATGGAAGCAAAAATATAAATCAAAGGAATCTCACTATAATATTTATGCCACTTTTTTTCCATTGCTGGAAGATACTGATCATAATCACTTTGATGACGATGATCAGCGAAAAGTTGGGCGAGTAAGCATGCATTAGAAAGAAAGTTTTTAGCACAAGGATTGTAAACAGTAGAAAAACAATACGTCATGTTATATAATAACTGTAAAAATTGCATATATCTTTCACAGTTATTCCAATCATCATCATACAAAGCATTTTGTGGAAATTTTTGGTTGTAAAATAATGTTAACGGGCCCTTGTACTCAATTGCCTTTTTTAACATGTCATAGGTGGAATTCCACCTAGTTGGGCAATCGGTTCTAATTTTTATTACCCTTATCTTTTGTTGTTTTAGAAAACTCTTCCATTCTTGGTATGTCATGTTAGAGCTATTAATAGACATAATAGCATCTCTGATTTTGCTGTAGTATGGGCCAATTGCCCGAACTCCATCATGTACACATAAGTTAAGTACATGGCAAACACATCTAGTATGAAGAGCTTCACCGTCTAATAGTACATCGGTTAAGTTTTGTTTGATAAGATTAGTTGTGTATGTCATAGAGGTTGCATTATCAAAAGTCATAGACATCATTTTATCTCGAAGGTTGTATTCGTCTATTGCTTGCATTAAATGGTGAGCAATGTTAATGCCGGTGTGTGGGTATTCCAGCATTTTGAAATGTATTATTCTTTTTTGTAACATCCATTGATCATCTACCCAATGGAAAGTCACACATAAATAGTGATATTTATAACCACTATCCCAAGAATCGGCTGTTAAAGATACTCTACAGTTAAGGTTACTCAATTCGGCTTGTAACCGGACTTTGTACTCTAGGAAATTTTTCATTGCGGCGGAACGAACGGTTTTCCTAGAGATTCTTTTATGTTGGGGTTGTAGTGCTTTGTTAATGTAGGTGTTGAATGCGTCACTTTCCGAGAAAAGAAAAGGTTGTTCGGCGTGTACTATCATTTTTCCTAGTTCATCCCTATCCCTCTCATAGTTGTATGTAAAGCCGTATGGATGGAATTGGGAAATTTTGGGCTGGGTTGGATCACTAGCTGGTTTTGCACAAGCTTTCATGTGTCTAGATAAGTGTCCCGTCCCGTTTTTGGTAACTGCCGTGAATACACTATTACATGTTTTACATTTTTCCCATTGTTCACCATCTTTACTTAGGACAAAATAACGCCATACCTCACTCCTTCGGTTTTTCAAAAGTAGCATCTCAGTTTCGGTTAACCATTCATGATGTGTGTGATGGTTAGTAGTGGGACTAGTGGGAGTGGCAGTAGAAGGGGTAGAACCGGAGGGAATTCGGGTACTTTCTTGGCTACCTTGGCTAGAACAATAGTTTTGTTGATCACCGATATAATTAGGTGGAAATTGGTATGGTGGTAGTGGAAATTGGTTTAGTGGTGGTGCTGGAAATCCCGACGTATTATATGGCTCATAGCCCGGGGGGAAGTAAATGGGGTCATTGGTTTGACTCGTAATTTGGGGGCTCGTTGTATTTGGTGGTTCCCTAGAACTACTACTACGGATAAGTCGGCCTTTCCCCCTATACCTAGATGATGGGTTGTTCGATGCCATAATTAACAATTAATTTTTTAATAAAAAGTGGTTAACTATAATAATAATAATTAATAACAATTTTAACAATAAAAATATCAATAATAATAATTAATAACAACAACTATAACAATAACAATAACAACAAAAATAAATAATAACAACAATTATAACAATAATAATAATTAATAACAACAATTATAACAACAACAATAACAATTAACAACAATAATAATTAAACAAGATTATTCTAATAATAACAATAAAACAATAATAAATTTAAGATTAGTTTAGATCTTACAACCGTGCTTCAACGCTCCACTAATTACGATTACGAACTTTTTAATTTTTTCCGATATTAGGAAAATAATTAGAGAATTTAAGAGAATAATTAGAGAATTTAAGAGAATAATTAGAGAATTTAAGAAAATAAGGATTATTAGAGATTTAGAGAATATAAGAGATAAGAAGAAGAGATTGTGATTTTGTGATTTGGGAATGAAATGGAGGTGAGTATTTATAGAATTTTTGGGGAGCAAATTGGCAAAAAACTAGCCGTTTTTTAGCCGTTTTTTTGGCTTATTAAGGAGCTAGAATAAACGGTAACATTACCGTTGGCCCGCGGGCCGGCACGACGGGCCAGTACGGCGGGCCATGGCCGTGCTCGTGTCGGGCCGTGCCTGGGAATTCTCAACCCTGTCCGTGGCACGGGAGTTGAACTTCGTGCCGTGCTTGAATTCGGGCCGTGCCGGGCTGCGCCGAACGGCGGGCCGTGCCGGGCGCAGGGGCGGAGCTAGAAGGGGACGAGTGGGGACACTTGTCCCCCCATTTTCAAAAAAAAAAATTAAAAAAAAATTTTTAAAAAAAAAACAAAAAAACGCAATTACAGAGTGTTCTGTGCGATGTTTGCAGCCAAACCCTAAGTCTTTCAATTTTTAATTTCTCTCTCTTCGATTCGCCCTCACCTCGCCAGAGTCGCCTGACGGCTGACGCTGTCCACCGTTCTCCGGCAGTTCGCAGCAGTGAGGCCAATGACGAGGTTCGACAGACGACAGCGCACAGCGGACAGCCTTCAATTCGTGTGAATCGTGTCTTCGTGAGTTCGTGTTTGCTGTTTGCAGCAGCAGCCCAGCAGCCCAGCACCGCGCCACCGCAGCACAGCCAACAGTTTGGACGTTTGGTGTTCAAGTGTAAAGTGTTTGCAGCAGCAGTTCGCAAGTCGGCAACTTCGCATTTACAGATTTACTGTAAGGAGTAAATCTGAATTTCAATGGAGGTATGATTAATTGATTATGTAATTATGTAAATCTAAATTAAGTGAATTTCATTACTTGTTTAAATGTTTAATTGTTTTATAATTTATATTTTTATTGTGAATTTGTCATTTGTGGCCTTGTGGGTATTGATTATTGATTTATATTTGTTTGACTGTTTGAATGTTTCCCCTGTTTGAGTGTTTGGCTGTTTTTGTGAAATGTGAATTTAAATTATTAATTATTGTAAATTATTGAAATGTGTAGTTGAATTAGAAATTTAAAATCTTAGGTTTTGTTATTATGTAATATGTGAATTGTGGTCTTGTGGAAATTGATATATAATTTTCAATTT